TAATCACTTTTTAATTATCTTCAGCAAAACTTTACTTGCATGTGATGTTAACAATATTGTTCAATAATTTCTGTATTTTGTTGGATCACTTTCCTTTGGAGTGAGTGTAAATATGGATTTCTTCTAACCATTGGTCTATAGGTAGCCGTCTTCCAAATTTCTTGACATAGACAGGTGAGCAATTCCAGCATTGCATCCGTTTGTTGAAACCTCTCAATTGGTCAGTTTCCTGGAGACAGGTTTTTTGCCAATGCCTTCAGTGTAGCTTAGACTTTTCCCTTCAATACCATCAGTTATTGTTCATATACTACCTCATGACATGGTTGAACATTGACCAACTGTTTTTGGTACAATGACTGTGTATTCCTTCCTTCTTTTCCACACGTCTAAGTGGGAGGTATTTCTACACTCTCTTCAGAGTAGCCAGCGGCAGCACCCTCTCCTGAATGGAGGCATCATTTCCCTGGGACTTGTGTTTATATCAAAGATAAATTCAAGTCTCTTTGAGGAGAACAAGCTATTCCTTTGTTCCTCTCCTTACTTTCTGGGGCCAAGGGTCCTTCAGGTATAATCTGGAAACCTGTGATGCAGTCTCCTGGTGAGCTGCTGGTAAGTAACTTCCCTTTCTGTATAGGTAGTAAGGTTGGGAGTAGGATACAGGGAAGTAGATCCTAATTTACCATATTTCTCAAAGCTTTGATTCATGAGCATTTTTTCAAACTTTTTATTGTGATTTGAGTGAAGATTTACAGAGCAGATAATCAGTTTTACATTAAAATCATGCTTATATGATTTCAATCCCCATCAATTATCCTACTTCCTCCCTGTGATTCTTGTTTCCATTCCATCTTCTTTCCCAACTCTTCTGAATTTTGGCCTTAGGTATATGCTGCCCAATCAATCTTGAATGGCTAATTATACCTCACTAGTGTTGTTGTCTCTCCTATATACCTATCTACTGCTTGGCTGAAAATTGAGCCATGAGGGTGAGTTCAGTTCTGACCAATAAGTCCAGTCTTTTTTATAACTTGGAGCTGTGTTTCATATTTTCTCTCACTCTATCCAGGACCATCTAATGTGATCTCTTTCAACACAGTTGGTAGTGGTAGCTGGGCCCCATCCATTTCTTTTTGTCTCAGCGTCACGGAGACTGATGTTCACATGTTCCATTTATTGGACTAATTGAATCCAAGCAGCTTCAATTTTCATCACTCTTCTTTCCTCAACATAGGGAGAGACCAGTAGCTCCATCTTGGCTACACAGTTCTTATCTGACACACATGGGGTCATCATGAGTAGGAATTGACTCTATAGCACCTGGTTTTAGGTTTTGTAAGAACTAGATGCTCATCAATTAAATAGAAAACCCAAACCAAGCTTTTGCTGTTGAGTCAGTTATGGCTCATACTGACTCTATTTGCTGTTGAGTTGGTTCCAACTCATAGCAACCCTGTATAGGGTTTCTGAGGATTAGTTGGTGGGTTTGAACTATCAACCTAGTGGTTCACAGTCCATTTCTTATCCTATAGGACTACACCAGGAAACAGTCCCATTTCTTATCCTATAGGACTACACTAGGGTTTACAAGGTTATAAAATTTTATAGAAGCAGACTGACACATTTTTCTCTCATGGAGTGGCTAGTGATTTTAAACTGTCTATTTTAGTTAGTAGTCTAGTGCTTAACTATAGCACCACCAGAGCTTTTCTTAATTAAACAGAAGCAACTTGTAAAATCATATTTTCTCACTCCAGACTTGATGGAACCTTACAAAAGCTGAGCTCCTATCCAAGATCTATTGCCATAATTAAATCAAAAAGGAAGGGAAGGGGGCTCCCCATCATTGTCCCCCAAAGGACAAAGCTTGCTGAGAGAGCTACCTGGCTTCCTTTATCCATACCCTTCCTGAGGATCCAGTTGGTCTTTTGATATATGAAGCCTGTTCTGACCCTGCAATGACTTTGGACACCAGGCCAAACTCATTTGAGTGCCAGATGTGCCATTTTGCTAAATGTACCTTCAGTCAACAGTCAGTTCACTTTTGAGACTGTTCTCATGGAGTCTCCATTGTGGCCTTGGCTTGATTACCCAAGATGGAAAACACAGATAAGATTCAGAGGGTGAAGAGGAGATGAGGGCTACCCCCTGCCCCTTTATTCCTGAGCACCCCCCACCACCACCACACACACACCTCCCCTGCTTCAGAGAACCAGGTGCAGTGAAGGAGGAATCGGTGTGCTACCTATAAAAAGCCAGCAAGAGCCCAGTCAGACTTGGAACACGGATTCACTACATATGACCAAAATGGGCAAGCTGTTCATTCTTGCTGGTGAGTTTTTCCCTGAAGAACCTGGTTGAGCTTTCAGAGCAGCTGCTTTTTCTCCTCCTTTTACTTAGTCTCTTCCTTACATCCTGTGCCTCTCCCCTCTCTCCAGGCTCCTTCCATGTACTAGTTTCCTAGGGCTGACATAAAAAGTACCACCAATTGGGTGACTTATGACAATAGAAATTTATTCTCTCAGTTTGGGAGGCTAGAAGTCCAAATCAAAGTGTCTCTTGAGGAAGATCCTTTCGGATCTTTCTCAGGTCTGGTTGTTTTTAAGTGCCAAGTGCTGTCAAGTTGATTACAACCCATAGGGACTCTGTATAGGGTTTCCAAGGAGCAGCTGGTGAACTTGAATCACCAATTTTGCAGTTCAAAGGACTTTGCAGTCTGACACATTACTCCCCCGGGCCACATCAGGACTCCTCCTGGAGACAGGTTTTTTGCCAATGCCTTCAGTGTAGCTTAGACTTTTCCCTTCAATACCATCAGTTATTGTTCATATACTACCTCATGACATGGTTGAACATTGACCAACTGTTTTTGGTACAATGAGTGTGTATTCCTTCCTTCTTTTCCACACGTCTAAGTGGGAGGTATTTCTACACTTTCTTCAGAGTAGCCAGCAGCAGCACCCTCTCCTGAATGGAGGCATCATTTCCCTGGGACTTGTGTTTATATCAAAGATAAATTCAAGTCTCTTTGAGGAGAACAAGCTATTCCTTTGTTCCTCTCCTTACTTTCTGGGGACAGGTCTGGTAGCTCCAGGCATTTCCTGGCCTGCAGATGCATCTTCACCTGATTATACTTCCTTTGTCTGTCTCCCTATGCTTTCTTCTCCTTGATCAGGACACCACTCACATGCATCAGGAGCCAGTCCACTCCAGTATGATTTCGTGCTAATTAACAAGGTCCTCAAAGATCCTATTTCTTTGAGGTCACATTCACAGATACTTTGATAGAATAGAACTTCAATGTATCTTTCTGGGACACAGTTCAATCCATAACAATGGGGAAGGAAGGACAGCCCACTGAGCCCCTGAGGGCTCCATAATGGAGGGACAATAGATCGTTATGATGGACCAGTACTAAGTCACTTCCCCACACTTGGGCTTGCCCCTTCCATTCCAACAACCTATGATTCCTCCTCAATGTTTGTCACAGAACTTAAAGCATAGACTTGAGCAATTAACTAAGGATCAATCAACCAACAGGAGCACTTAATAGAAAAATGAATACGGTTAAGGTTTTTCTGACTGTAGTAATATGAGTGTGGGTCTGAAGAGTTGGGGAGGGAGGAAATAAAAGTCCTAAAAGAGATAATGCTGCTCCCCAAGTGCTAACTTGTTCCTAGAGATGATTACCATGCTATTAATAGGAGCACAAGGAAAATGGTCACTGGGCTGGTCACAATAGCACATGCTGGGTGTGATTGAGTGGCTAGAAAGAGAATAAAATTCAGTGGCACCACTGAAGTTGACAAGTAGCGTGAAACTGGTTCTGGGAAAAGTGAATGTAGTATGAAGACACTGTTATGGGAAGGGGTTAACTGCCTGCTCCCCCTCCAATACCTCCTGTGTCCTTTCCCACCAATTTGCCTTATCTGGAAAGTCCATTCATTCAATGAATATGGATATAAAAAGTGGGCTATGCACCAGGCACTATTCTGGGTAGTAGGGACTCAGAAGTATAAGTACAATCTGTGTCTTCAAGAAGCTAAATGCCTAGTTAGAAGACCTATGAACTATTATCTTTTAATGCAATAAGTGCTACTATAGAGGTTCAAATCAACCCAAGCCCACAGCCATTGAGTCAATTCTGACTCATAGTGACCTTGTGTAGGGTTTCTGAGACTGTAAATCTTATAGGAACAGAAAGTCTCCTCTTTCTTTCATGGAGCCGCTGGTGGATTCGAACTGCTGGCCTTGTGGTATAGAGATGTTGTTATTGTTAAGTGCCATCAAGTCGGTTCTGACTCATAACAACCCTGTATAGGGTTTTTGAGGAGTGGCTGGTGAGTTTGGCATACATAAATACCAGAGAGACCTATAGAGAGAACAGGAGATTCAGTCCAAACATCACCTGTCTTGGGAAGTCTTCCATGACCTCTGTTTTCTACAATACTCTGTGCATATCTCCATTTGATCACTTACCATACTGCATTGCACCTGTTTGCTTATAGATTTGACTTCCCCACTAGGCTGTGATCTCCATGAAGACAGAGACTCTGCCTACATTTTTCTTTTTGCCTCCAGACACCAGTACTTAGTATATATAGGTTTGCTGGAAGAAAAACAACAAATTCTCTTGTTTCCTGAGCTGCCCATCATCATCGGAGCTGCGATGTAGTTCTCTGAATACTTATATTAGATCCTTTTCAAAATATGTTGCCAGGACCCATGTTAGAAAGGATTTATAGAGTCCAGGGACTATCAGACATAGTTCCCCTTTTCCTTCTACTGACAAGTCAGTGATGCCCCAGAGCTCTTCCTTCCCCATCAGGGAAAGGATTATCCTGGCTCTTTCTGATCAAGTTCTGTTCTTCTTTAGGGCTGGCCCTCCTGCTGCAGCTGGGTAAGTGTCCTATGAGGATGGTGGGGTGGGGGATTCCAGGGTACCTTGGAGGCTTGGAAAATCATTCGAGGCAAGGTCCATCTCTGACTTCTTCAATATTCCAGGCACAGCAACTAAAATTGTCTGTTACTTCACCAACTGGAGCCAGTACCGCCCCGGGATTGCCCGCTACATGCCTGAAAATGTGGATCCTTGCCTCTGTACACACATCATCTATGCCTTCGCTGGCATGGCCAACAACCAGATCAAAACCATTGAGTGGAATGATGAGGCCCTCTATGCTGGCATCAACAGCCTCAAGAACTAGTGAGTTCTGGCCTTGGGCTCTGTGCTGGATTGGAGACTGTCACTTGGCATTTCAGAGGTTTCTTGAGAGACCCCAATACTAGGGTATTTAGCCTTTGAGTGCTGACTACCATCACTCTTGTGTCTTGTTGGCAGAATTGTCAGCATCATTAGCCCCAGGAGAGGCAGGTTACTGTCATTTTCCTGATAAATTTCTTAGCAGGTCCTCAGTGCTGTACTCTCTGGGTTTAGGAGGTGCCATCTGCAAGAGATCCACTGTGACTAGGACCTCCCAGAGTTTGCCATGCGACAGCACATGCCCTACACTAAGCTATACCAAAAAACAAACTCACCATAGCCGAGTCAATTCTTACTCATAGTGATCATAGCTAGAGCTCTAAAGACTATAGATCTTTATAGGGGCCCTGGTGATGCTGTGGGATGAGCGTTGAGCTGCTAACTGCAAGGTTGGTAGTGTAATCTACCAGCCACTCTATGGGACAAAGAAGAGCACACTAATCTACATTGTTGTTATTAATTACTGCTGTGTCACCTGTATAGGGTTTCTAAGGAGTGGCTGGTGGGCTTGCAATCCAGTGCTTATCCTACAGCACCATACCAGGACTCCACTCACCTATAGCTACTTACTAATTGAAGAACTTAACATCATTCTTGTGCTGTTAAAAAAAAATCTTAGCATATTGATTGGATGCTTACTAAATGCCTAGCATTATGTTAGATGCTTTTCATTATTTTATTTCACAATCAATACTATGAATTAGGCATATTAAGTACCATCAAGCCTCTTCCCACTCATAGTGACCCTGTATAGGGTTTCCAAGACTGTAAATCTTTGTGGAAGTAAAAAGCCTCATCTAGTATGAATTAAGTATTTTAAAACTATTTTTTTGGTTGAAAGAGGTTAGAAACTTTCCCTAGCCCACAGAACTGGTAAGTGGAAGAACTCAGGACTATCTGATTAGTTTATCAGATAGGTTCATTGAAATAGGTTCATCTGGAAATCCAATGGGTAAATTTTGTGGTTGACAGGACAAAGGTACCTGCTAGAAATACTGTGGCATGAAGGAGGTTTGAATCCTGGGGTAGTCAGGATCCATCACTCCACTGGCAGAAGTGGGATTCCATTTCATGAGTATTTATAATATACCTACAGGTACCAATGGAAAGAGTGCATCTTGCTCCTGTAGATAGCTCTGCTTATGAGACAGGGTCACAGATCTGGTGGCATCCCTGGGCTGCTCAGGTACTCAGTGTTGAGGGCAGAGAGACAGGCCAGCAGATGACATCTCTTAGCCAGTGGAATTTCATTTATCTCGCTATCTTTCTATCTCCAGCAACACAGAACTGAAAACCCTGCTGTCTGTTGGTGGCTGGAATTTTGGAACTCAGGGGTAAGATCTTTGTTTTAGATTTTTTTAGTCCCATATTGGAGTTCTGGCATGGCACTGTGGGTTAATGCACTGGACTTCAATGTAGGCTTGAACCACAAGGTCAGAGGTTCAAGCTCAATAGTTACTCCTCGGAAATCCTATCCAGGATCACTATGGGTCGAAACTAATTCGATGGCACTTGACAACAACAAACCCCATATTGGAGTCCTGGTGTGGCACTGGAGGATAAGCACTGGACTGCTTATCATAAGGTTGATGATTCCAATCCACTAGTCACTTCTTGGAAACTCTTTACAGGGTTGCTATGAGTGGAAACTGACTCAATGGCACTTACCAGCAACATAAGAGCTTCTCCAAGACAGAAACTCTGTTTTATTCTCCACTGTCACTACAAAAAAAGGACAAAAAACAAAAAACCAACCACACTGCCATTGAGTCAATTCTGATTCTTAACAATACTATTTAGGGTCTCCTGGTGTGGTGCTGTAGGATCAGCACTGGACTGTGAACCACAAGGTTGGCAGTTCAAACCCACTAGTTGCTCCATGGAAACCCTAAACAGGGTGGATGTGAGTCGGAACCAATTCGATGGCACTTAAAAAACAACAATAGGGTTTCAGAGGTTGTACATCTTTATGGGAGCAGAACCCTCATCTTTCTCACTATGAGCGGCAGGTAGGTTTGAACTATAGACCTTGTGGTTAGCAGTCCAGTGCTTATCCTACAGTGCTACCAGGACTCCTTACTGTCACCACAACACTCACTAAATGTTGAATGAATGAATGACTGAACGACTGTATGTGTATCCAAGCAAATCATCAGAAGGCTAGATGACATGACAAAGTCTTGAAAGGCTTGTTGTTATTAATCTTGTGTGCCATCGAGTCAGTTCTGACTCATAATGACTCTGCATAGGGTCTCCAAGACAGAAACTCTATTCTCCACTGTCACCACACAAAAAAAAGACAATAAAAAAACAAATCCCCTGCCATCGAGCTGATTCTGACTCATAGTAACCCGATACCAGGCTACAAGGCAATAAATCTTCACAGAAGCAGAAAGTCTTGGCTTTCTCCTGGAGAGAGACTGATGGATTCAAACTGCTGAACCTGTGGTTAGCAGCCCAATAAAGGACTCCCTACGCCACCCTAAAGCTCTCTGTGGGAGAACTTTGTTCCTGGGACACTCCACGTCAAAGTCTATCACTGCCACTAAGATTCTAATGATTTGTTAATTTCAGATTCTCTGACATGGTTGCCTCCGCTGAGAACCGACAGACCTTTATCCAATCGGCCATACAGTTTCTGAGAAAGTACAACTTCGATGGGCTGGACATTGACTGGGAATATCCTGGTAACCGTGGCAGCCCAGCTGACACTCAGCAGCTCTTCACTGTATTGCTGAAGGTGACTCCCCTCCCCTTTGTCCACAGAACATAAGATCTGGCCCACAGTGGGCTGAGGATAAAGTCTCTAAGAGGTTCTAAGAGAGACTGAATACTCCCCAACCCAGAGTATGGGTCTCATCCTTACAGGTTCAAAGCCTGATTTCTTTAGTACAAGATCAGATCATTCTTTCAAGGAAAACTTGCACTGGGTAAGTTAGAGAGATGGCAATTAGTAGATTCATACTGAGAAATAGAACTGACAAGGTGCCTGAAACATTTATGCCATCTCTATTCCTAGGCACAGATCCAATGGAAAGTCAGATATTCCTCAAATATTTGACTCTGACTAGGGCATCCCCACATGTGTCAGAGGAGAACTGTGCTCCATAGCTGTTGATCACTAGACCTTTCTTCCAAGGTGCCTGTGGGTGGCCACAAACCTCCAATCTTGCTTTGCAGTTGAGTGGGGTAACCATCTGCTCCATCCAGGAACTCTTCCAGACTCAAATAGATAGGTGGATGCATACACTGCCAGGGAAAGGGTACTTCTGTCACCAGGAACAGACATACAGTTATCGGGTCTCAGTGCCTTCTTCTCTGGGCAGAGCCTTGTTAAACACCAATGTTTACTTTGATAACTCTTTTATATTCTCTTCTTCCATGACTGATTTCAAAATATTGTTATTATTAGATTCAATCATGTACAGTTTGCAAGACTGGGAACTATTTTTACCTCTTTATATCATCTTTTCTTTATTCTACTCTGGTTACTATTTGTTTATTTTAGAGTTAAACTCTTTGAGAGTGACCAAATACTCATTTCCAAGTTCTTGGGAGGCAGTTCACTGTTGTCCCGAGGGTTCAATAACAGATAATAGTAACAAAGAACTCTGAACTGAGAACTTTGCAGTTTTCTTCAATAGTCACTTTGCAACTGTCAACTTGTCACTTGTTTGCTGGTATCCTTCAATCTGAGTCCAGTGTCTTCTGTTTTACAGGAAATGTATGAGGCTTTTGAACAAGAGGCCTCTCAGAGCCACAAGCCCAGGTTGCTGATTTCTGCTGCTGTGTCGGCTGGCAAAGGTACCATTGAGACTGCCTACCAGATCCCTGAGATGTCTAAGTAAGTAAATCCCAAGTTCAGGCTCCCAAGTTCAGGGATAAACAACCCCAACACCCTCCCTAGAGAGTAAATGATACCTAGATACCAGTGGCCAATGCTCAGGTTCCTTGAGCAGAAAGGGCTCTATCCCAGAGGAGTAAGATGACCACAGTGCTTGATGGAGAGGCCTGGGAAGACAGCATGAACTATGATCTTTGTTTCTAAGTCTGTTTCCAAAGTTCTTTATGGTGAAAGGCTATTTGGAGAAGGTTAGCTGAGTCTCAAACTTCCATAATTCCTGAAGGTCTGAGTGCAGCTATTGATTATGGATTGAGTGCCTTTTATGTACCAGTTGCTCTTGGGATAAGGGTGAGAGAATGGAATAAAGACTGGTAATGCATATAACTTATGGTGTAATCACAAGCAACACATTTTTGGAGTTTAGAAGTTTTCATGGGGAGTAGAATGGAGAATCTGATTTTCCTTGTGTCATTACTTATCTCTTTTCTGTCCTCTCCCCAACCAATCAAGGTATATGGACCTCATCAATGTGATGACTTATGACCTAAGGGGCTCCTGGGAAGGCTTCACAGGAGAGGACAGTCCCCTGTTTGCAGGACCTAATGACCAGGGAGGCTACAAATACTTTAATGTGGTGAGTGCGGAAATAGGTTCAGGATAGCCAGTTCTAGACCACATTGTAAAAATGAGTTTGCCTGGGGATTCTAGTAAAGAACTCACATGTATTTAAGAATTGACTTGGAAGTCTCTCAGGTGGATATTTCATGCTCAAATGATGCTGAGCCCCAGTATTCAGCCAGGTGGAAAGACAAGTGATACATAGCTGAATTTCTGTCATGCCCTAAATGCTAAATCCAGTACAAGGTGAGGGAGGATAGGAGAGAAAAATGCATTCTCAGTTCCCAGTTGATACTGGGCTCTGCTACCTAAACAATGGACTTCGGATGTCCCCTGATACCCATTCTAGAAGGGAGGGTGCTCATTTCCTTTCTACCAGGTTAGATTATGGGAGGAAGTTAACTGGATGCTGTATCTGCAGTTGTCAAAGAATTGTGCAGAAAATTGACTATTCTGTTGGCCTTTGGGTTCTTGCTCAGCTGCTTCCTAATGGTATCACTTCCTTAACTTCTTCCAGGAATATGCAATGAATTACTGGAAGAACCAAGGTGCCCCTGCTGAGAAGCTGATGGTGGGCTTTGGGGCTTATGCCCGCACCTTCACTCTCACAAACCCTGCCAACCACGGCCTGAATGCTCCCACCTCTGGACCTGGAACTGCCGGGCCTTATACTAAAGAAGCTGGGACTCTTGCCTACTTTGAGGTAATGTCTTCAGTAGTAATTTGTTCAAGGTCACAGAACTAGTAAGAGGCAGAACTGAGTTGAAATCTAAATTGTCCAGCTCCAGCATCTCAGATCTTAACCATCAGTCTCCACTATTTCCTTGTTATCTCCTTTGAGGTGAAACTCTGTCCTATAAGATCAGCTAAATTCATTTCAAAGGGAAATGGAGCTGGGCACAAGGCACGAAGAGGTTTCTCTGTCCTTTGTCACACAGATGGCTATTGTGTGATATTGGCAGAAGCAGGACTGGAATTCATGGTTTGTCTCTCAGTCCAGGAAATCCTGCACTGGCCCACTAGACTAAAAATCAGGGCACAGGAGTTGGGGTGAAACTGACACCAGGTGCTCTCATTTCCAGTCAAGTGGAGGTGGTGGTGTATCCAAGGAAGGAAAGGGAGAAAAGAGCTAACCAGAACAGGAAGTCGTGACCACTCCTCTTGTATCTGCCCCAGGTCTGCTCCTTCCTGAAAGGAGCCACTGAGGTATGGAACGCCCCCCAGGAAGTGCCCTATGCCTACAAGGGAAACCAGTGGATTGGGTATGACAACCCCAAGAGCTTCACCCTCAAGGTAAGTCTCTTCACATCCTTTTTTAGCAGCATCAGGGAGAGGGTTAGCGATCTACTCTCATGGTACCCTTGAGCTAGAATCCCAGAAGACACTGAAGAGAGGCAAATTGAGGTGAAGCAAGACCTAAGGAGGCTCTGCGGTCTCACAGGAGCCAATGACCAGGAGCCAATGACCAGAGCCTGGAAATTGGAGCAATTGACTTTCTTCTTTCCTTCCCTTATAACTTCTCCCTCTCTGGCTCTCGTCTTGAGCCAACTCTCTTATTTTTGCTTCCTGTTGTTAAGTGTTGTTGAGTTGGTTCCAACTCATAGTGACCCTATATAGGGTTTCTAAGGAGCGGCTGGTTTGAAACACTGACCTCATGGTTCAAACCAATGTTGCAGTCCAGCGCATTAACTCAAGCAGGCTCCTTTGCTTCTGGAAGCAGGCATTGTTCCTCATACCAAAGGCCATGGTACAGATCATCACAGTGTTTCCTTGTTTGTTTACAGCACATTCCTAAAGGGAAATCAGGAGGCAACGATCCCCTGTGCCGTGAGGTTTCTGCCCATTGGTTTTTTACATACTCATATTCAGGTCTGGGGTGAATATGACTACTGTTTATAAACCTCAGGGCCTTTTCTCTCCATCCATTCCTATCTAGAACCTCTTTCTGCCCAGACACTTTCCTGTGTAAAGTGTTCTACATCTCCTATGACACCACAACCAACCCAAGGTCCAGCTCAGACAAGCCTTCTTAAAAGGTTGTTTGTGATAACAGAGGGCAAAGAAAAGGATGAATGGGAGCCCTAAGCCCTCTTTCTCCCTGACTTCTAGTATGAAAATAGCTCCTTCTATAACAATCTGTCCATTGATCCTTCAAAGTCCCTGCAGGAAAGCTATTCCCATTCCTTCCTGCCCATGATTGGTCATCATCCTCTCATGCCATTCTGTGGCAGTCCCTCACTGCACTGTGCAAGGACACCCCACAGCCCCCCTGGTTTTCTCCCCCAGGCCGAGTGGCTGCTGAAGAACAACTTTGGAGGCGCCATGGTCTGGGCCATTGACCTGGATGACTTCACAGGCACTTTTTGTGGACAAGGCAAATACCCTCTCATGAATGCCATCAAATCTGCCCTTGGTGTCTCCACTCCCAGTAAGTAATGTTTCCTGCCTACTAGTCATGAAATAACACACTTGTTGTTAAGTGCCACCGAGTCAGTTACGACTCATAGTGACCCTGTATAGGGTTCCCGAGGCTTTTAAATCTTTACAGGAGCAAAAAACCTTGTCTTTCTCCCACAGAACAGCTGGTAGTTTCGAACTGCTGACCTTGAAGTTAGCAGCCCAACTCGTAACCATTACACTACCAGGGTTCCTTAAATAACACTCTTGTTGTTGTTAAATGCCATTGAGTTGGTTCCGACCCATAGTGACCCTGACCCTGTATAGGGTTTCCAATGAGCAGCTGGTGAGCTTGAACTGCCAACCTTGCAGTGCAAATAACTTTGCAGCCAGCACATTAACCCACAGTGCCACACCAGAACTCCAAACAACACTTGTTGTTGTTGTTAAGTGCCGTCGAGTCGGTTCCGACCCATAGCGACCCTGTACAGGGTTTCCGAGGGTGTAAATCTTTACGGGAGTAGAAAGCCTCATCTTTCTCCCGCGGAGCGGCTGGTAGTTTCGAACCGCTGACCTTAAGGTTCGCAGCCCGATTCGTAATCACTACGCTACCAGAGCTCTAGATACTATTAATAAAGAGGGAGAGAGGAAATCAAGGAATTCTTCCTGCAGGCAGATATTCTATCCACTCAACACACGTGTAGGGCTGGGAGGGGAGGGGGACATGTAGGATCCAGAAAGACAAATTCAGTGGCCTGAACTGGTTGGTGATGACCCTACTGAGAGAGGAAGGACCTATCAATATCCCTGAGGGTCCTACTGTGGGTAACTGCTCATAGGCGCATTGGTAAAGTTGCCTGAAGAGATCCAAGCCAAGGAGGGAAAAAGGAACCAGAAACACCATGTATCCTATCCCTACCTGCCCAGCTCCAGTCTTCATGAATCCGCAGAGCAAATAAGACAAAGCAAGGGAGAGATTACAAGGTTAAGAAATGAGGAACGGCATGGGAAGAAGGAATCACTTGAATGTGTCCAGCCCAGAAGAAGGGAACAGAATTATAGCTAATCTTGAAACACAATTCTGACCTGGCCCCAAAGGCCATGGCAAGGGGACCTGGGAAGCTGACCATTTGGGTCTTTACTCTATGTCAGGTCTCCTGCTTCTTTTACACTCTATGTAGTCTTCACAGGTACTGTGGGAGACACATGTTACTTGTTAAGTGCCCTCAAGCTGGTTCTAACTCATGTTGTTGTTGTTCTGACTCATAGTGATCCTACATAGAACAGAACAAAACATTGCCTAGTCCCGTGCCACCCTCATAATTGATATGTTTGAGCCAACTGCTGCTGCTACTGTGCCAGTCCAACTCATAACAACTTATAGGGTTTCTGAGGAGCGGTTGGTGGGTTTGAATCACCAACATTGTGGTTAGCTGTCCAGTGCTTATCCTGCAGCACCACACCACGACTATTTAAAAGTAATAGCTAATAATAATGTAACACTTCATATATTATGTATCATGCACATGGAAGACACTTCACAAGCATTAGTTCATTTAATTTTCATAATAATTCTAAGAGGTAGTACTATTATCCCATCATATAGATGAGAAAACAGAGGCCCAGAGAAGTTAATGACTTGTTCAAGGTCACACAGCTAGCAGTAGACCTGGGCTGTGAACTTGGTTCAGGTTACAGCATTTAATCACTGGAAGGACCCACAGTTGACAGTGAATTTCCTCCTGAGAAAGGAACCCAACCCAGAGCTAATGGAGAGCCTTTCCTTTTACTTTTTAGGTTGCAGAGTGCCCACCTCTACCCTGGGCACCAGTGTGGCCCCCATCGTCACTGCGGCTCCCGGGGGTGGCAGCGCTGGCGGCAGTGGTTTCTGTGCTGGGAAGTCCAATGGCCTCTATCCAAGTCCTACCAGCAAGCGTGCCTTCTACAACTGTGTGGGTGGGCACACCTATGAAGAGGCTTGTCAGTCTGGCCTAGTCTTTGATACCAGCTGTTCTTGCTGCAACTGGGCTTAAGCCATTCACCTGTGGGGTCCATTGAAAACTGTAAAAGAAAGAAGGTTGATTAAATGAAAGTTTTGCACCAAAATGTCAAGTTATCTTGTTTGCTTTATAAATCTGCATGGCACTGCTTTGCAGATAAAAGAGAATCACCTCCACTCCCCTTTCCATGTACCCCAAGAGTCTCCAGGGGTCAGGTTGAGAAGAGGAAGTGGTTGATGACTTGGACCTCCCGTAGCATCTGGCAATCTGGGTCCTTCCTGTGACATGAGCAGAGTGGAAATAAGAGGCTCCAGGGGCAAGAGTGTGGAGTCCTTCTTTTCCACAAATATGCCTCCAAAGAGTCTTGCAGAAAGAACTAGAACAGTACCTAGATCAGGACATTTAATTTATGACATCACTCTCTCAGAAATGCTTCCTTTACTAAGTTTACTCATTTCCCAATTCCAGGGCTAAACAACTCCAAGCAAGCCTGACTTGTTCTGATGACAGAACATTAGGGGCCAAGCTACCTGTGGGATAATCTATGCATTCTATCCCTCATCTTTGTTAAGAACAAAGACCATCATCACTGATTTCAAAATTATCTAACTTAGAAAAAGTAAAAAGGTTAACAGCACATCGCAAAAACAACAACTAACAAGATAAAAAAGGATATGAATTTTAAATGTCTAATATGTCTTGATTTCTTTTTCCCTACTGATAGAACCCAAACCCAAACCCAAACCACTGCATTTGAATTGACTCTGACTCAGCTACCATATAGGACAGAGTAGAACGCCCATAGGTTTCCTGAGTGGACCTCTCCTCTTGCTCTTGCAGAGCAGTTGGTGGGTTTGAATCACTGACCTTGTCGTTAGCAGCTCAGTGTTTAACTCACTGCACCAGGGATCCTTCACTTATAGAAGACAGACATTATCTGAGGAAATGTGGTTTCTGTTTCCTTGTAATGGGATTTTAAGTATTGGTTATCTTACAAAATTAGTTTGATGACCTTAGCTTTATAGCTTTAACTTTGTATTAATGTACATATCTCCCCAAATTAATTCAATATCACTTTTATTGCCTCCCCCCTCAATGTATCCTTCAAAATAGGAAACTAAACAAAAAGCCACATTACAATAAGGCAGGAGGTCTTCTTGTGTCTACCACGTTATAATAAGGCAGGAGGTCTTCTTGTGTCTACCACGTTATAATAAAGCAGGAGGTCTTCTTGCGTCTACCATCTCCAAAAGAGCATAGCCCACCCTTTCTTAAAACTGCTAAAGTGTTGAAGAAGTTAAGGAAGACTAGCTCACAGAACAAGCAAGTCATGTCTACTTATTAGGGGAGTCTGGAATGTACCTTTTCTATAAACTTGCACAGTCGATGAGCAAAACCTCTGGAGCATACCTCCCTTCCTCCTATCTCATCACTTGGAATTTGAGCAAAGTGGCTCATATTCCTGGGTTTTCGTTGTTGCTCCAGCATTCCTGTCAGTAATGCGCTGTTTTTAAGGGTTATTATCAAATGTTTTTATTATTGGGTGTATTAAAGTTTATCTAGATTGGAGTTGATACACCTCTATTTATATTTTCAGTTTCTGCCTTGGTCTGTACACAGAATTCTTACTTGAATGCCTGGTTAAATCTAAATGTTCACCAGGGTTATGGATTGAATTATACCCCACAAAAATATGTGTTGGAATTTTAATTTTATACTTGTGGATACACACACACACACACACAAGAGAATAAGCAAAAAAAAAGAAAAAAAAAAGCTTGCTACTAGGGTTCCAATTCATGTAAAGTATTTATTCCAAACAAAACGTGTTTAAACATGTCACTGTAGTCAATGGATGATGGTAGACAAGTGCTCTCAGTAATGTTGTTGCTGTTGGGTACCATCGAATTGGCTCCAACTCATAGGTACCCCATGTACAACAGAACAAAGCACTCCCTGGTTCTGCACCATCCTCACAATCATTGTCTTGTTTTAGTCTGTTGTTGTAGCCACCATGACCATCTGTGTCTCTGGGGACCTTTCTGCTTTATGTTGGTTGACCCTTTACACTACCAAGTATGATATCCTATTACACAGACTGGTCCCTGCTGACATTTCCAAAATACGTGAGAGGAAGCCTCCCCATTTTCATCTCTAAGGAGCATTCTGCCTATACTTCCAAGACAGATTTTCTATTTTCTGACAGTCCATGGTATAGTCAATACTTTCACCAACACTATAATTTGATTGGAGTCCTAGTGTGGCACCATGGGTTAATGCACTGGACTGCAAAGTCAGTTTGAACTGCAAGGTTGATGGTTTAAGTCAACCAGCCACTCCTTGGAAACCCTATAGAGGGTCACTATGGGTCATAATCAACTTGCTAGCACTTAACAACAACAACTGCACTAATTCTTCTCTGATCTTCCTTATTCATTATTCATGTTTTCACATGCATATGAGGTGATTGAAAAGATCGTGGCTTGAGTCATGTACACTGTAGTTCTCAAAATCATATCTTTGCATTTTAAAACTTTACAGCAGATTTTTTTTTTTTTTTTTTGTCTTTTGCAGCAGATTTGCCCAATGCAATATATCATTTGATTTCTTGAACATGAACATTGTAGATCCAAGTAAAATGAAATCCTTGGTAATTTCAATCATATCTTTGTTTATCATGATGTTTATTTGTCCACTTGTGAAATGTTTTGTTTTCTTTAAAGTGAGTTGCAATCCATACTGAAAACTATAGTCTTTGATCTTTATCAGCAAGTGCTTCAAGTCCTCTACTTTCTCAGCAACAAGTTTGTGTTATCTGCATATCACAGGTTGTTAATGAGCCTTCCTCCAATACTAATGCCAATTTCTTCTTTATATACTACAGCTTCTAGAATGATTTGCTCAACATCCAGCTTGAATAAGTATGGTAAAAGAATATAGTTCTGACACACCCCTTTCCTGATTTTAATGCACTCAGTATATCTTCTTGTTCTAGCAACTGCTTCTTGGTCTTTGTAGCAGTTCCTCATGAGCACAATTAAGTGTTCTGGAATTTTCAGTCTTTACAATGCTATCCAGAGTTTGTTATGATCCACACAGTTGACTGTCTGTGTGCATAGTCAATAAAACACAAGTAAATGTCCATCTAGTACTCTCTGCTGTTAGCCAAGTTCCATCTGACATAATCAGCTATATCCTTCCTTCCATGTCCTTTTATGAAATGTCTTTGGAATCTATTGTGAGTCACAAATTATCCACTAATATAGTCAAAGAAATTGTGATAGAATTTGTTCTGAGCATTTGTAGGGAGTGTTTTCCCCAATTAAAACATCTCAGTTAAAAAATTCTGGTCCACAAAGAAAAAGCAATAGAAAATATTGGCACCTTAGAACTGATCAACCATGAAAAACAGCTTAGAAGATTGCAGACACTACTATAAAAAGAATTTAAAAGAATAGAAACATATTTTTAAAAATCTCCATTCTTCAGAAAAGTTATCAGTGGCATACTACTAGAAATATAGCCAAAAAAAACTGCTTAAAATATAGGAAGAATAATGATTAAGAAGCATTTTATGTTGCTTATTATACAGATATATTTTTTATATTTTGAAGAAACAATTTTGAAGGTAGTCTCAATAGAACCATTTTATAAATCCATTAGTATAATAGAAGTTTGTCAGTAAAAAATAACATTTCAAAGATGACATAGTTTAAATGATTTTTATGATCTTTTAAAACTTCTCAGATGTGTCCAGGCTTGGGAAGGACACCAGAAATGGTGATTAATTATTCCATTATATATTGAATGGTCTTATAAACAATCAGCATAGAAAAAGAATCCAGATTTGCACCAAGTGCTAGTTGAGCTATTTTGTGAGCTAGCTACAAAAAGAGAATTTGAACTTCCTATTTTGCATATCTGGGTAGCTCTTTTCCCTTGGGTAAGTCACAGATTCCACTGTGACTCCTGTGCCTTGCACTTCAGCTGTTTGCACAGGCATCTGGGTTATTTCTGTCTTCATCTTGAGTCTCCCCATACCATGAGGATGTCTTATCTCATTTCCCTGGTTTGGCTGGAAAACAAGACTGGCAGGGATCACTTTGGATATTCCCTGCCCCCATTGTACTTATTTATTTAACAAATAACTTATAGGTGCTGAATGAGCAGCCCTGTCCTGAGCACTTTATAATCATCAATTCATTAAGCCTTCATAACCATCCCATGAGATAGTCATGGTTATTATTCCACTTTGTTGTTAATTGTTGTGGAGTTCATACTAATTCATGGTCACCCCATCTGTGTCCAGTAGAGCTGTGCTCTATAGGGTATTCAAGGATTACCTGGTTACTTTCCCCCAGCAGATCTCAGGCTGATCTTCTGAGGTGCCTCTGGGTTGGTTCCAAACATCAACCTTTTGGATAATGGTCCTGGAGCATCTAACCTATTTGCACTTCCCAGGAACTATTTACAAATGAGAAAACAGTGGAGGGGTCGGGGGTGGGTAGCTAAGCTCATATAACTGGAAAATGTGACTCAAAGCAGGCAGTCTGTATCTGGCATCTGTGATCTTATTGCACACTTTGTGCTATCCTTTGGACCCAACCACACAAGTAGAGCACACCTCATGCCCAGCCTAGACAGTAGCCTTGGAGTTTATTCTGAAGGAATTTTAAAAAGAGTGAGGCAGGTCAAGTAGCACCTCTCCAAGCTTAGGTACCCTTCTCTGACTGTAGCGCTGTGGGTCAACGTGCTGGACTTCAAGGTCAATCTGAGCCGCAAGTCCTTTAGTTCAAGCTTATCAGCCACTCGTTAGAAACCTCATACAGAGTCACAATGAGTCAGAACCAACCCTACAGCACTTAAAAGCAACAACTCTGACTTTGATTACCACCACATCCAAGAACCTGGAGCCAGTGGGTTGTCCCTAACGTCACCCACACCATCTGGGGCCTGACTGTAGCTAACTGGAGGCAACCCGTTGGTCCTCAGCCGGTGAGACCTTCAAGCCCTTTTAGGGTGAACTAGGATCG